GCCCCGCAGTAAAGCTACAGCGGTGATGTTCCTGCCGCGCCTTCGGAGAGGGCAACGCCGTTGCTTGAGGGAAGTAAGACGAACAGGCCAGGAGGCAACGTCTCCGTGCGCCTGGAGAGCGGGCGGCCTTCGCCCAGCACCGGCCTCGGGCGGCGGGGACCGCACCGGGACTAAAGCGCTCCCCAAAGCAGCTGATCAAGTTGGTTTTTCCAGCATAACAGCCCCACAGACGTTACCGTAGGCCGGTAGTGTTTGTTAATTGCTCACGGCGTACCGAAGGCACCTCTTAAACCAAGAAACCGAAGGCAGCACAGCCACCCTCGAGCTGCAGCGAAGCGACGCTCCTCCAGCCCTCGCCACCTGGCACCGCGCTCCCTCCTCCGCCTCCTCGTGAAACCACTTCCACAAATACCAGTCTCTAAGGAAAATACCGTGTTCGTACGCGAGCAAAAGCAGTCGGGTTGACCCCAACGAAACAGTTAGGCAGCGTTATCTGAACTGGTTTGAGATGGGCTCTGAATAAAAAAAAGGCCAGTTTCGGAAAGACCTGACTTCAGCTATCTGAAAGATGACCTGCCACTCGCGCGTGTGTCAGCTCACCTCGCGTTAAGAGTCTGGGAGTCCAGACTGACGCTAGTCAGTCAAAACAACAGGATTTCCACTTAAAAGTGATTATTTATAGGTAAATATTTTTTAAGTGTAAATGACTACTTTCTTTGGAGTTCAGATCTAGTTCCCAGGACAGGTTTTCTGCGCTCATGAACCTCCTTCTATCGAGGAACATTACAATTCCCCTGGAACACAACTTCATGATGGAGAGGACTGGTCGCTCAAAAAGATCATCAAATATCAAGGTTGAGACCTTGAACGTACTTTGACTCTCAAGATTCAGTGAGTGTAACAAAAGATGTTTTGTATTTAGATGAAGTTCGTATCCATGAAGCAGCAGCAGCAATCATGATATGTAAGTCCCAGTGGTTATTTCTGTGACAGTCCAAGAGAAAACTTCAAGTCAGGAGGAGATGGGGATTTGTTTCACTGCTATAATTATTTCAGTGTGCAAGAGTTAAGGGGGGAAAAAAGCATTAAGATTAAAGAATAATTGAAGCAACTGAAAAGTAACAGCCTTCACTAATAGTGAACATGAAAATGAAGAAAAATTTAGAAGTTCTACTTTAGCATCAATTTAAAAGTTGTCATTTACGAAAGGTGTACTACCGTTTTATATAGCCCAGATACTCTTAGCTGTATTTTTTATTCTAACTCCTCTCTACTTGAATCTGGGATCAAAAATTTGTAGTCATCAGTATGAGCGTACAGCTGGCCACCGGCAAGGTTAAGAGAGTTTATATATTTGTCCTTTTTATTTCACATACAACTTCCTGTGATCTTTAAGGAGACAGCTGTCATGACAGTGCCTGCTTTTAACTCACTCAGAGAAAGGTAAACACTGAAGCATAGCTATTTCAGCCTCAGGAGAAGCTGGAGGTTCACCACTCCTGCTGTTAACTACAAAGCTGTATTTAGATACCCCTGTTGCACTGTAGCTGGGGCAACTGCCCACTCCTCTGTAGCATTCCTTTTTGAAGGGCATCTTCCACTTTGAAATCCACATCTAGCAAACTATCAAGGTCAAGAAGTCTTTGCTTTTTGCTCTGACAATTATATTTCTGCTACCACCATCTCTAATTTAATCTGTTCCCATCTTTTCCTAGCAAGAGGCATGACATTGTTCTAGCACCCCTCATCCTAAACTCTTCCCTTCCCTTTGCCTTTTTTTTTAAATTCCCCCACAGTTTTTCCCCCAAACTAGCTACTACTTTGTGTTTTGTTTTCTGTGGACTGAATTTTCCAGAATACAAACCATATCATGAAAAAAAAAAAAATCCCAACAGTATAAAAGCTACAGATACAGACACTATAGTTTCTTTTGCTCATGATCAACTGTAAAACAAATTAAACTGCTTTACTATGGTGTGCAATGTTTAGTGATCGTTTTATTAATGCAGAAATATCTGCTTCCCATTCTGAATTAAAGTGCAACAATTAAGTCTGATATCTTCTTTTTGTACATCAATTTTGCAGTGCGGTTCCTAGAAGACATGTAGTTCAAGTTATGCCTTGCATTTGTAAAATCTGCCATTTTAGTACTGTTTCGCTTTATTAACTAAAATAAACTGTACAAAAAGCTGTAAAGTTACATTAGCTTTAAACAATGTAGGATACACGTTCTCTGGCAAACTTTAGTGTGCAAACATTTTACATTTCTTAAAGTGACAAAATTAAGCCAACCTTGAAGTCAGAGTTCATTACTACATTACAAAAACCAGAGACTAGATATGTCAAAAGAAATTCCCCACTGAAATTAACACCGTTGTATAATTTTATTTCTAATTCTTAAAAAAATAAATGAATTTAGAAGAGAATCACAGTATAAGGGCCCTAACATTTTAGACCATTACAAGGTACATAAAAATAGAAGACACAGATTCCTTTAAAACTTTAATCCTTTGATTAAGCAGCAAGCATATCACTCTCCAGGCAAACACTGCTTAAAACAAATCCTACCCCCAAAACAGGACGTGCAAACCGTATGCACATATTCTGCAAAGCACACAATAAAGACATTTTGCTATGTACATACTTATTTAGTACTACAAATGCTAGGAGTTCCCTACTGTGTGCTACAGTATGTAAATTAAGAAATACTACCTATCTTTGACCCTCCCTCCCCCCTTCAACTACAGCACCTTTGCCCAATTATAGAATATTTAAACAAGATTAAACTGATTTACAATGTACTGAACAGTTTTAAAGCAGTTGGTGGTGGCCAACTCTACTGCAACACCCAACACTGTGCATACTGAAGTCTATTGACAAGAGACAAGACAAAAATTAGCAAAGGTACAATACACACACCTGGGAGACTCAATGCAAACGAACAAACAAAACAAAACAAACCCCTGAAGATGTATCCTATCACTGTCAACAACGAAAATGAGATACTCGGACAGGATGTCAAAATGTACCGGGTGGGTTTCACAGCAGTTTTAAAGTCTGGAGAGCAGCCAGATTTGTACGTAGTTGTTGAGGGGACATTCATGACTCCCAGAACACAAGTTTCAGTGATCACAAATTCCTCAGTTCGTGTTTTACAGTGCTGCTTTTCTTAGCTAAGAGGCCATCTGATGCTTATGTAGCGGCTAAGGATCTACTTTGATGCAAGAGAAAACTCTTTAAGAAGGATCTTTCGTATGAGACTTCGGCGCATCAGAAAAGAGCCATTTGGAAAGCAAATACCTAAAGTTTATGATTTTGAGAATGTGTCTGAATGAAGAGCTGAACTATACAGTGTCAATACCTTAACTGCAATTTAGGCCGTGAGTACTATAAACTTTAGATTTACAAATGAAATGGTACAAGAGATTCCTATTGCACAGATGAAAGCTCTTAGCCAACTGTTAAACTGATCGTTAGTTAGACCATTCAATTTCTCTGTGAAAAAGACTAGGGATAGCACATTCCTCCTTCCAATAAGGGCTCATTTTAATCAAATCCAGTTAATAACAGAATGTATTTAAAATGGTTTTCAAACACTTGCAGGTATAAATAAAAATAACCTTTTAGACTAGTACGGCAGTCAACCTGAACGTTATTACATACTTGAAAATGCAGTATATTTCAACACCTTGATCCAGATCACACTTTTTTTTTTTAAATAATGTTTCAGACAAGAACAGTTTAATGAGCACAGTGAAAACACCTTTCAGTTTCCTAAAGTTGGAAGCAATGATTAATACCCAAATGCAGATTTAACTTGGTTAAAAAAAGGAAAAAAAAAGCCTAGGAAAACCTCAGCCCAGCGAATCAACTCACCTAGAAATAGCAGAAATCAGACACTCATTTAACACACTAAAATTGGGTTGGCAGAAAATAGCCCCTATTGCCACAATATTCTATCACCACCACCAGTCTCTATGTTTTTATCCTGACTTCTTAGGCAAGATATCAATGATCTGTCAATATCTATATGAACTGCAGACAGCCATTTACAGAGAAATAAAAGAATAATGGTGCTTGCTACTGTTCCTCTCCTGTCATCATCCCCCAGGTGCCACAAGTTGCTGCCCTTCTCTCCGCCCCAGCCTACAAGAGATTTTGTGGCAGAAAACTGGACTCCTGTTTTCAGTTAACTTACACGATTAGAACACATGTGAGATATTTAACGTGTTTGGTACAATAGCTCATCATGTCTTTCAAATACTCTTTCAGAGGAGTATTTAATAAGAAAGTACCTTTCTAAAAAAGAAAGTGTTTTGGGAAAAACATGAGGAGAAGAAACACCTACATTTTACAAGCGCATGAAATGCTTCTACGGTTATCTAAACACGGCCAAAATTCTGAACCTAAGGCCATTAGATTTTTTTGCACGAGAAAGTAAAACAACCAACAAAAAACAACAACAACAAAAAAAAACAACCAACCAAAAAAACCACAACCCTACATGTAGGTGTCCTACAGTAATATCTACTCCTAGATTTGCCAAACTACTATCCTGTAGTTAGATAATCGACTATGAAGAACTGTTATAAAATAAATAGAGTAAAAATCAGTTAAACAAAATCTTGGTGTGTTGAACATTTATTCATTTAAGAAGTTAGCTTCCTTCAACAGTTATTCATATAGAGGAGGACTGTATTGTAGGCATTGTTCTGCTGTACAAGTCTTCTACACAAAAAATATTTTTATACAGATGGTCATTCATGTGGTTCCATTCCTAGTTATCAGCTTGCTCCTCCATAGAACTGGTCTGATACCTGTGAAGGCTTGCTCTTTTTTCCCCTTCATTACTTGGAAAAAGAGTAGACATTGATACAATTTTTCAAATGTAGGAGTTAGCATAATTCTGCCTTATTTCTTCAGTGCAGAGTAGACTGCGATTCTGTCTGAATTCCAATAAGTGAGGGTGGCTGCTGGCCACTAACTGTGGTTAACACGGGCCTTGGATTTAGACGAGGAGGCATGGAATTAGCTGGGCGGATGAGAGGTGGGGGGGGTTGGTTTAGAGTTGGCCTTGGCTGGATAAATCGAGCCTGCTGTTGAAGTGGTGGGGGCTGACGATGGAGAGCAGGAGCAGCAGGAAGCGCTGGACGAAGTAACGGGGGCGGCTGGTTTAAAGTTGCCATGGGAGCGGTAGGTGCTGGAGCAGATGCCTGTGCTGGAGGTGAAGGGCCTAAACACTGAGTGGCCGGCGTGCTTTGTGCCTGCACAAAGGACAAAGACAAGATTGCATAAACAGCTGTCCTAGCCAGAACGTAATGCAGTTGGGTTGCCACTGTCCACTATGCAGGAAACAGTATTTAAAAAGACAAAACCAAAAAACTGAGAAGTTACTGAAAAGAAATCACCAACCAAAATATTATAGAGAGCAGGAATAAAAATATTTATGAAGCAAGAGTCTTCTTTCTAGAGCAAGAACTGTATTTTAACAATAAAACAGTAATAAGATATTCACTATGAAAGGTGCAGTCCTGTTCCCAGTTGGTTAATGACATTGGCTGAAGCTCTATGCAAGCTCATCATCATTCTTTAGAATGTGCTTTGCCACTCCACACCAGTTAACCTTACATTAAAATCACTAAATACAATGCTATTCCTCAACCCATGCTTACTTATATCTGGTACACAAAAACACACCTCATCTTCTTCATCAGTGCTCTTTCCTGATGGCACATTAGAAGTATTTTTTGTGTCCTCCCCTAAAGCAGAAGCATCACCATTAGAAGCCAGGGTTCCTTGTTCCGCTTCCCATTCCTGCAATACCTCCTCTAAGTTAAACCGACGCCTGTAGTTTACAAAGAAGTTCTTCACTTGGCCAACAGTCTTGTTGCCAATTACATCTGCAATAGCTTGAAAATCTTTACCATATTTGCGGACACCTGGAAGGCAAAGTAAATAACATAGCTGTGAAGAATCAGTCAGACACAGCTACGTGTGATGTATTTATAGAGAGAACCTATGGGACCTGCAAACCAAGGACTCGCTAATCAAGAGGACTTCTCAGTTAGGAGAAGGCCTCAATTTCCCTTAAAGCAAAATAATTTTTAATCGCATAGCCATCAACACATAAATTGAGAACTTTATTAAAAGGTCATCCCCACTCTTCTCAGATTCTGGCTTTCTCGCCAAGCCTCCCAACCAAAAACCACACAGATCTGGCCTATGATGCATAAAATAAAACCCTTTGGTGTGCCTGGAGTAAGGGCAGAAGCCCGAGACAAGTTCAAGATGGGAGCGGGAAGGTGAGTGAGCACGTGTGGACAGGTGTAACAGGGTCTAATGCCGGAAGTGTGAAGTGACAGATGTGGACAGCTTCTACAGGTTCCTCCCTCTGTGCCAGCAGTGTGCAGCTGGGATGGTTTCTTTGCCAGCAGCCTGTATGACAACAGCCTGGTCAGTGGGACAGGTAAAGTTCAGTAGCTACTGGACTAAGCAAGCGCAGAACAAGGGGAACGGTTCGTACGTCACAGTGTACTGCTCACCCCTCCATTTGTGACGTGCTCTACTGAGGCTACAGAGGGTAACTGACAGCCATTCACTGGACAAAATCTTTTTAAAGTTCTCATTCACCATTCAAATTTGGTAGATGAAACTGGGTTTTTGGGACAACTGCCTGGGGAAAAGAAACATAAGCTACTGGTGTCCGTTTACAACACGGTTCCCAGCACAAGCCTCCAGTAAGTGAATTCTCCAACAAAGAACTGCATGACAGAAGACCCTTGCATCATTCTTTTTGTCCATTTTCATGCTGGTATCAGTAGGTCAGTTTTGTTTACAAGCACTTCACCAGGAAACGCTGCCGGTCCTTTATAAAAATCTCAACATGGGCTTTTTGAAATTCTAAAATTAACTTTGCGTATGGTAACACCGGAAAAAGAGTACAGAATTCTGTAATTTTAAATCCAAGTTTGGATTTATAAACTGAAGTTTATCAGTTCTCTCTCAGTTTTATTTAGGGTATACGTATAGATCCTCTTCTGCCTATGAGAAAAAAAATTCTCAAGATCTCCAGCATCCTAGAACACAGCTTTTAGCTACACTAAGCACATTTTTCATCGTAAGCATCCAAGAGTCTGGAGCCTAAAAGAAATATAACATTACATAAATTTATTTAGTTTAAGACACAGTCCAGATTCCATAAACAGAAGACTCGTTTTTGCTCTCAGTTATGCATGAGTGAACCAAGATTTAACTTGTTATTTGAAGCTCCTGATGACTAAACCCATTCAGAACACATTATAGTGCTTAGAGGACAAGCATTCTATTTCATTATAGGAACAGGAATTTATGCCCAATTTCATCCCTCACCTCAAGGTGAGGCAAAGGATTCAGAAAGTGAGAGCTGTTTCAAATCTAAAAGGTATGTTTCTTTTCAACTAAACCGTGAAGAGAACAGCCTTCATCTTGTTCTGCTCTTTTCGTTCTTCATTAATAGGTGCTTCTGATGTGGTATGCACACATGCAATTTAAGAGGAAAGTTCAGCTCTGGGATAGAAACAGTTTCTGTAGCTGAAGCTGATGTTTCAACTGTCAGGAGCTTAATTATGTCCGGCTACATTACTTAAGCCTTTTTCCTAGGACCTACAAAGGCATTCAACCATTCTTACCGCAAGAACCTTGGAAAGAAAAATAGAGGGACCTAACAGTGCCACAAGGGAGGGAGCACATCTAGGAAGATCAGAGACAGGGATTTGGTTCTAGGCATTATCCAGCATGCAAAGTGTTAGCTATACTCTCTAAAAACAGCATGCACCCACACAACACTTCCTCTAATGTTTCAATATCTGTTGATTGTCACACTATTCCCACCCTCACTAATTTATAATGATCATTAAGCGTCCACTGCAACGTTATCTACCATCCTGCAGAATTCATGATGTTCATGTTGGCATGAACAACATGCCCAATAAAACAAAGTCCACTGTTTAAAAAAACGTAGTTCAGACTTGTAGTGATTTCAATCTTTTCTGTTATTATGCTGCCTATACTCCTGCCTTCCCCTTAACCTGCAAAACAACTGAACCTGTAGGCTAAATCCATCTAAAGCTGACAGTGACAAGGTCTTAAAGCCTATTTCCAGGCAGACAGGTCGAAGACAGAGCGTATCATGCTTTCACTGAGAACCCAACCATGATAAACATCTAAACAAAACCAAACTTGTAGCTCAGCTACACCCAGCGCTACCCATTTTGGATTCTTTTCAGAGGGTTTAGTGCTGCTACGGCATCACCATAGCGACTTCCACACAATACTGTAGTAAAACACTTTTAACTTGCATTGGAAACACAGAGGAAGTTCAATATATGTCTATGAAAATTTTATACATAAGGTGCTGACACATCTGTAAGAGGACATATTACCCTTTAACTCATATTGGTGCACACTACACATCTTCACATAAATCCTGTGCTAAATACTACCCAAATTACTTCCGAAGTGCTTAATCTGCTAACTGATAAGAATGTTATTAGGCTGTTGACAATGAAGTTCAAAAAGACGACTGCATAGCCTCACTTCACAGGTATGAATGCTTCCCCCAGCTCATTTGAGACTAGCCCTGATCATGGGGATTCTTCAAGCTCTTCAGAACTCTGCCGAGGTAAGAGGTGCACTTGCACACAGGTATGCGCAGTATGACAGTGCTTTATCTTAGATGTCTAACTCGAAACTCCTAAATCCAAATTTGGTACTGCCTACCCTGTCTACTACCGTGCAGCAGAGCAAACACTGACACGCACAAAAAGCATTATCCTGCTTCACAAAGCAATATAACGCAGCACCACAATGACACAGAAATAGTTAGTTAACCCTAACCTCTGGATTATGGCTGCAGCTCTACTGCGGTGTGGTTATAGTGCTCCTGACAACTAGCTCACACAGTGTTAGATCCTGGATTTCTCAACTGTTTTCCACCTCAATGAACTGAAAGCGATATATTGCTTTTTCAATTTCAATTTGGTTGATTTGAACAAGCCTTAAAATACTTTTGCAATTACAATTTTGATGTGGCCAATATCTTAGTTTGAAAAAGGTAATTGCTCATATATATTTCTATACACAAATAAAACACCTTGCATGACACACTGGCCCATTCAGTAATTCAGGCATAAAGCTGAACAGTAACCTGGTGAATTATACTGCAAAAGATTGGCCCAGTGATCTTTATCAAGTCTGAGTCCGAAACCCTCTTTGCAGGCAGCCACAGTAATTTTAAGATGACCTAATCATCTTCATTTTATTATTTTTGTTCATTGCCTCCTCTTTAGTTACTACCAAACTCCTGAGATCACATTAACCCACATAGAAACCGCAAGAGTTATTTCATTTTAGAAAAAAAAAAAATACCAAAATCATTTTACTGCAGGTTATTTTTCTGATTCCACAGTAGGATTTAATGCTTGAATTCAAGTGAACAAATCATGGAAGCGCCACCTACCTGCTTAATGTTTATGATTTCAGTAAAATTGTTAAGCATCTAAAAGTGTGTTTCAGGTCATATCGATATGTCTGATGGACTAAACCTATTTTAAATGTACATATTAAATGTCCCCTTGCTCAAGTTAATTGAGATGTTCAAGCCTTACAAACACTATGGAAACCTTAGTATAGCAACCATGGCTACTTTCCTTTAAAAACAGTCGGAGCAAAAAAATAGCACCATGGACCTTTCATATCTTAGTCTAGTAGCTCAGGCAATTACTTGGAAGTGAGAGATCTGAGTCCGTGGCGCTCCTCAGCCTGAGGGATGGGAGGCTTAAACCTTTAACTCTCACATTCCAGGAGACGGACTCCATCACCAGACAATACGTAAGAGAGGGACAGTAAGAATACTTAGTCCCTTGTATTAAGGCTTCTCCCCTCCCCCCTTTTACATAGCGGCAAAGGAAAGGGTCCAAAACACCAAACCCAAACAAAACCCCCTAAGAAGGGCATGTAATTCAGAGAAAACAGTTTTTTTCTAGCAGTCTTGACTTCCCATCCCGCCCTTAAGTACTAAAACTGACTAGCCACGCAAAACAGAAAGCACTCCCTAGAGGAGGGACCGCAAGCCTAGAACTCCTTTCCATTTCCAGGGAGCCATTACCAACCCTCAGTCTCTTCTGCCCATTCTCCAGTTCTGTTATTTACCTTATTGATTACACAACAAGTTTAACAAGTATACAACACGCTCAACAAGTTTAACAAGAGCTCAATACATTCCTATCGCCTCCCAATCCGATCCTTGGTTAGAGCTCTGATAATCAAACCACGGAAATGCAAGGTAGTTTGAATCCTTTGATCCTAAGGCAGGTACAATGAACCTGAGTTTTCCACTTCTCCAGCGAGCAGTCTGCCTACTAGACTAGATACTAAAGGTAGACACTGCTTTTAGATGCATTTGAAAAAGAGTGAGCTAGGTAGCCATACTGAGAGAAAGACTGCAAACAGTTTGGAGATGTGAATCCCAGTCTCAGAGGCATGTAAGTTCAAGAAGCCTGATTTCAGACACACCCTTTCCTTCAGCATTTCCATTTACACTTCAAAATAAACCTAACTTTAGGTTCAGTATAGGTCACTTGGCTAATAATTACCAGGTGTAACACACCTGACAATTTTACACTGATACCCTGATGCGACTGAAGGTTTTATACTAAAATTCAGTCTTCAGTTTTAAAGAAGGTGAAGAACAGAGGAAAATAAAGATATGAATGATTTATATTATCTTAGAGCTGATTTATATTATCTTAGAGAAGATGATAAATAAACACAAATCAACATATAGTGACCTCAAGACAATAACGGGCTCATAAATATTTCCCTTACACTTTCCTTGATTAGGTAGCGCATGTTAGAGCGAGACAAACGTCAGTTTTCCTTCAAATAAATGAAAAAGTGCAAGTTCACTGTATCAATAATCTGGAAAATTTTAATTTTATCCAATAATAGCATTAGTACAATATCCATATCTGGCTTCAGACTTAAAGGCCTCCACTGGCTAGATATCTGCTCTGCTATTCCCTTATGAATGGAGAAAAGTAACTGAAACAGTTTTACTTCTGCTTTTTCCTACTTTAAGGATATAACGATGTGTCTTAACAAGGGTTGAAAATTTTATTATTTCAACCATTACTTCAGCCTTCCACTTTAGAGAAATTCTTACAACGTCATTTAGAAAATGAATGAAGGGACTTTTTGGTACTACATCGAGCTGTTAAACCCAGCTTAGCTTCTCTATTTAAGATTTAATAAGAGTAACTGAAAGACTAATATCATTTTGCTTAAATTAATATGCTACATTTTCTCACTTTTTTGTTGTTCTTGTCTTCCCAGTGACTGTCTCGTAAGAACAGATAAAATTTAGCTTTCATTTTACAGGGAAGTGTAAACATACTCCTGAACCACTCTCAAAATCCTTTGCATCAGGTTTCAAGCCACTACTACTATTAACATACCTTGTACTGCAAGAAGCTGCTCTTCTGTGGTCCAACGGGCATTGATTTTCTGATTAGACTATTAAAATCAGAAAAATGGCACAAAGATCATTAAAATGTTTCAACAGTTGCAAAATATCTGAGTATCTGAATGTGTTTTAGTTGCACTACAGTTTGTAACATAGGTAAAAACCTCTTGCTCAATAAACCATGAATTCATAAAGTTTAAGGCTGCTTTCATGAAGAGGAAGTAGTATTTAGAGGATTTCAGTTTAGAACTAAAGTGATTTCCCTCTGCTTTACCACGGTTCTTCGGTTTCACCTATATCGTAACTTATCCACAAACTAATGATCTTTATGCAGACAGAATTTGAATATATAGTTAAATTTATCTAAACTATTAGAACTCAGTGTCTAGAGTGCTTTGCATTTTGGTTACATTTCACATCCAATCCTTTAGAACAAACAAAAGGAGAGCTTCTATAGTAACAAGTCACTCACTGCGGACGCTCAAATTAACACACAGTCGTGTTTCACACCGAATATAGAACTTACTGCTAGCAGTCTACATTAACTAGCTTTTAAATGAGGAGGGGAAAAGAAAAAAAGGCTACTAGGACTTGATTTCAACTCCCTATTGTCACGAAGAGTCAGGTCGTTTCTGTTTTTTCCGTTTATTTAGCCAGTTTACATAGAACAAAACAAAAGCCTACTACTAATTTCTTACAAAGAGGCCAGACTCACCACTGTATGCATTTCAATGGATCCTGTTTAAGCTGCTGCTGAAATGCAAACACTATGCAGCAGCAAAAGACATTTCTGTAGTTTCCCGCTAATGTAAGTGCAAGGCCACAAGTTCTAGTATTTATTCTGATTTACCTCAGGAGGTTTGAATTCTTCAATCCCGCCTTCCATTTTCTGTTTAAGTGCACTGTTTACTTGCTTAGCATTTTGAACCTTGGTCAAAAACAACAAAGTTAATCAGCTCCACAAAGAAAGTTGGTCACTTTACACATATATCTTCACTAGGATTGCCACAAGTGTACCTCCTAAGTTAGAAAGAGAAACATTATGGTTTAAGGCTTCTCTACTTTTAACTGTTTGAGGAAAAAAAAAAAAAAAGATACACAGAGTTTACTATGGAGAGAAAAAATATTTAAGCCAGCCTTTTGAAAGAACAGTTTGTCTGCAGGAATATTAAAAGGACATAGAAAGCAAGTTTTAACCATGTTATATATATTCTGGAAGAAGAATGCAGAATATTCTACACAAAAGCTTGGTTCTTAGACTTCTAAGTGATATGTGTTGTACACAAACTTCTTCCTTCTCCAAAAAGTACTTGGAGCGGGGGAAAGACTTATGAGATATTTCCAGTTAAATTCTTCTGACAGACACTTTTTATTGACCTTAGATCATCACAATTTCCTTAAAGCATTTTCTTGAAATAGTTCAATATATGCAAATGAAATATTTTACTCTACAAGAAGGAGAGAACTCACACAAACATATTTATTAACCATTTAAAGCTGACTGCATAATGCACATAAGAACGCAGGCGAGAAAATTTTGCATACTATGGTGCAGAGCTATTACAAGTGTTCTTTAAGTATGGGCATAAAAGCAGATAATTCAGTGGGAGGCTCCAGAGGCTGCATCTCTCTGAGATCACTGAAAGGAAAGAAAAAACAAAACAAAAACCCCCACACCCTCAAGGATGTAACTCACCTACACTTAGGCTAAAGAGTGAAACCCACCTACGCTATTCAGCCCCAAAATCCTGCTGTGATAGAAAGAAGCGTATTTCTCCTGCAAAAGAATACAAGGGAGCAAAAAGCCCAAGAAACCCTTTGTGCGCGCCATGATTTTGCAACACAGCAGCTCCTAGTAGTCTACAATGAGGCAGAAATTCCAGAAGATAAGCCTTGAATTTGTTGCCACATCCCTCCTAGAAAGCAAGCATGCACGTACTGCAGTGTCCCAAGAGGCTGAACAGATTCCAGGCCACAAGTTAACTTCTTTTTGCAAAGGAAGCAGGTTATAGTCCTCTTAAAGGTGAGGACTACAAAGCAGTTTTCCGAAATGCCGTAAGAATGCTCACCATTCTAAACAGAGAAAATAACTAGGCCCATGTCCCCCCCCCCCGCCATGCTTTCCTGGATGTCCCATCCTGAATACAGCTACATTTGTTAGCCTAAAAAATATATAAATATAAATATTTTATATATCTATCTATATATATTTAACTTCCACTGCTTCATTGGTCTCACTCATTCTCACATGAATCTTTCACAAAGTAAAAACCAACTAAACAAAAACGCACTAAACTAAATGACCTCAGTTCTCCCTTGTTCCCAGATCGACACTGCTTTCATGTCATTCTCTCCCCTCCACAATTTTTTTTTTTTAAAGGAAGTCATCTTGTTTGATGTTATCCGCAAGGGTAGGAAAATATAACAATAAAACCGAAGAACAGCTAATGTCCAGCATTTTTGATGATTACTGTGGAACAAAATTAGGAAGACTTATGTTCAAGAAGTTTCAGAATCTTCACAGAAAACCTTCAAAAACTTTACAAGAGCAATTTGAGATGAAAATAAAACAAGACCAATAACCCATGGTACCTGTCGCTTTAATGAGATTAGTTCCATATCCAGCTGTCTAAGAATTGTGTTGGCTGCATTGGGACTACAGGAAACTGCTATCACATCTTCCTGGGTCAGGAACATGCCTTTTGGTGGACGGCATTTGGACCGCTGAGAATGGTGACGATGCTGTAAGCTCTGATACTCTCTTCTACCCAGCCCTATTTTGCTGGTCTGAACAGGCTGCTCATTACTGCCCTTTAATTCACAAGAAATAAATTGTTAAAGAATAACAGTGTCTTACATATAACTTTAATAAAGTATCACATCGCTTTGTAACATCATATTTACAACCAAAAAAACCTAAGCTAACAGCTTTATCTCCACGTAGGATCTCACAGATGAGCTGATGCAGCACACAACCCTGGACAGGCCTCCATTAGCCTTAGGCAGGTGAATTTTCCAAACTTCAATTTTTTTTCCTTGAACATAACCAAAGATACAATAAATGGTACAGAAATCACAGTCTGAATACTATGACAGAAGGCAGCAATCAAGAACTTCTGAGGTATCGAGAAGGTAAAGAATATATATACGCAGCATCTTTAAACCAAGTCATGACTGGATTTGGCAGTATTACCGCTAACAACATTTTAAGGTACTTTGAACTAACGCATTTACTTCAGGTCAAATATGAAGGGGGCAGGCGAAGGTCAAGGGAGGGGGGGGAAAAAAAAAGTCAGGAAGTCAACCTTGACAGGCAAGAGGGCAAAATGACACCTTCCCCTGCTGCAAGCATTCTACCTTGAAAAGCTTAAGTGCCATTTGCTTTGGGAGGGGATTTGAGATTTGGAAGAAATAGCACAGATTTACTTTTGCAGCCCCTGTAAAAATCTATCTAACTTAGCAAAGTTAAGCCTTTGTTGTTTGCTTTTTTTGAAATGGAAAAGGATAGCAAAGAGGAGAAAAAATTCATTATAACCATTTTTTGGGTATACTCAGACATCTGGCAGATCTTTGCTCAAAGTTTCAGCTTTGTCTTCAGGGGGCATTGCTGCACAACAGCTAGCGTGCATGCACATAACTCCAGTAGAGCAACTGGGAAGGTTACCTATTGACTAGAAGCAGAGAAGCAAAAACGACTTTTCCTATAAGGATTTTTCAGTTCAACGCACTGTTAAGTACCAGAGCAGAGATGAGATTCAGGCTCTCTGCTACTCAAGCAGCCCCCTACTGCTCCTCCCTGTCTGGCATCCATGCAGGTTAAGAGGAGGTAGTCATCTGATCACAGCGAAGAGAAAACAAATTGCAGCAGCCATTCTGTTTTGTAGCATTAGTACAGATTAGCAAACTGTATTTTCATCTACTAGGCTTGACCTTCTGCCACATCCTCTTCTCAGCTAATGTAATATCTTAATCTAGGCCATAGACTTCATGAAGGCTATCTTAAAAGCATTTAGGACACTTGACCCTACTGCTTTCATGTGGAAAGTTGATATAGTCTTATATCTTTGACATCTAAAAATCCCAAGGTTAAGTTTACTTCTGGCCTATCTACACCATTTGTTTTTTGGGTCAACACTGTTCTTCTACTGCGAAACTGCAGTTCCTGTCTGCTCAGTCTGGATTTAAAGAGAACTCACACTATCAAGCTTTCAGCTCGCTAGGCTAGCGTTTGGCTTGTTTTAGTTTTCTCAGATAAGAGAGTTTCCATTGCTCTACACATTCAAGTAACCTAGTCAATTTATATTCTGCTTAGGAAGTGAAAGTATGCAAAACCTACCAGAAATATCAGACCACAAAACAATATTATGTGGATCCAAATAGCTTTTCAGAAGCTGCAAACCTATTTGTCTTGTTCCTAGAAGTCTACAAACATGCTACTTTCATTCTGAACTGTGTGTAACGATTTGCACAATAACTAAGGAGAGCAGGTTAAAACAGACAGCCATTACTTAGGAGTGGCTTAGGCACCAAATCAAATTAACAGATTGCAAGAAGACTGTTACAGTGCTGAGGGTAGGGGTGGTAAGAAGGTTCATGTTAGAGTTTGTGCCATTTCAAATTCTAAACAATGTATCCCCCCCATGAAAAGTCTCAAACTCTTTGTAAGAGAGGGGTTTCTTTTTTTCCCCCCTCTTAGGGTAGTTAAAGTGACATGCTGAAGGTCATCGCAAAACTGGGAATGGAATCTAATACTATCAATCTCTTACTCAGCATCATTTCTGGCAGAAGTCCAAAGTTGTATTAATAATCCTAGATACCACTTCATGATCCTAAAGAGACGTTGAAACTGCACCATCTCTCCTCTCACATTTTCAAGGGGCATTAACTCTTCCATTTTAGGAAAAACCCAAACGTATTAAGTTGTTTAAGAAAACAACGAAACATTTAGACATTAAACTGTGCTCTTCTAGTCTTGATCGTAAGCAACAATGTTTACCAAAAAACAAGCAAACAAAAATAAAAACCACCCCAAACTCTGAACATACCCGAAACACAGCACTCATCTGTAAAGCTAACAGTAAGTGATCTACTGAGGACAGTAAAATGGTTTTCTGTACATTGTTATTACTAGAAAGCATTTGAATAAAGCCACAAGAGAGCTAAAATGCATAACCTCAATATGGCTTTGGAAGAACAAAGTAAATTACTCTTGAAAAGAATATCATTTAATTTTTAAATGCATAAAGAACACAGTTTCCAATAATTCCCAATCAGTAAAACTGGAAACGGGTATTAACAAGAGAGGGGTGGGGGAAACGTTATTTTTACCAGGTAGACAGCGCATACATCTCCTAGAAAGCATTAAGATCTTTCACCAGCTGGCAAAAGTAACGAGATGCACATATGCACACCGAATGGCAAAAATAAAGGGTAAATTTTAGTTTCATTCAAAAGTTGTCAAAATCTTGATCAACTAAGAATCCTGTGATTTCAGCAGGCTGCAAATAGGTGGATGTTAAGCTTCTTCTACTACAAGTTTTATTATTCACTGCAACACATTCAAGGAAAACAAACAAACTGACATTCACCATTAAATTATCTGTTACCTCCTTTTTGGCTTCTTTTTTGGGATCATAATCACTATCATTTCCATCCATTGGATGAGCTTCTTCTACATCATCATCACTAAGAACAGATGACAAGAAGCTGGTCATTTTACGTTGTCATTCTATTTTTTTAAGCCTTAAATATAAATGTATCCAGGCAAGATACAAATAGAGTAGATACTTTAGATACAGTTAAGTAGTCAAGTTTTATGGTTATACTCTTTGACATCCATTTTTGTAGCAGCTCTGTTTTTGATAGCTGCAAAACACTTGTTTCCTTTATTAAATTCTCATAATTACTATAATTACTAAGTAAAAAGTCCTAAGCTGGAGTTTCAAAAACACTTTAAGCCAGTAGGGTTGGCATTGTTACCAAAAAAAATTTAGTGTCATCTTTCTTTAATTCAGCCACTTGTACCAGCATGAACATTTACAAGGTCAATTAGATCAGGGCTAGAATTAAGTTTTCATTTGCCAGGTTAGTTTAACAGATCAATTCTCCAACCACTGCACCAGGTGTATGAATAACCCCTTGTGTCAGTCTGCAGGAAGCAGAAAGGGACAACATGAGATGGAAAAATACAGGACTGCTTTTTCACCAGTTCAGAGCGCTCAAGAACTACAACTTGGGAGGAGGGAGAGGAAGAAGGGAAATCTTCTGCTGAATTAAACCAAAGGAAAAGATGAAAAGAGAGAAGAATTAATCTAGCTTAGTCCAGTCTAGTCATTCACACAATGTAATTTCTAACTATAACGTAAAAAATTCAAAAAATTCTAGTTATTACAAAAACCAAAAAGCTGTATTAGAAACAAAGTGTTTTTCTTCTGTAATTTTAATTCTGTAATTTTTCAGTTATAGGTTCACTAAGCAAGCGTGTAAATTTTAAACTACAGGAGTTTGGTTTTCTAGTAACATAGAATTAAAGAGACCCTTTTCCTCTGGCTAGGCAGTTTTCCATAGATGTGAAATAGATTATACTTGCTCATATAAACAAAAATACAGTACTTACACATCCAAAACATTAAATTACTTAAGATAATATTCCAGTACACTAAGTGCAGTATAATTTTAGTTTCAAAGTAATTAGGGGAAGCTTCATTCTCTTCTGTCCAAGAATATTTAGCCCTATTTTGAACTCTACTTCTCTTTGACAGATATTAGTTCTAAATGCGCTCAAAATAAGATTTACATAAAGATAAGGCTTAAAGTTTCACTATAAAACAGTATTTTGGCATTCTAATTGCTACAGCTCTTCATATGGGTTGACCTTTTAGTTATAGTTCTATTTTCGTTTAATAATGAAAACGCTCTCCTCCTCACGCCCTACTCATTACAGTTTCTGTTAAGAGAAAACGCAACATGCCAGTCTAACTCAACACAATCAGGTAGGGCTAGACTCCCCAAACAAAACATTATTTTTAAGCCACATCCCCAAACTTCATGTTTTTCAAACCCCTGTTTTTGCAGTTATCCGCTAAAGCCTGGTGTGTTATTACAACTGATACTGACCAGAGTAATATAGTTCCTAAAGCAGAGGTATCAGAGATCACCTGCTGAAAGCAAAGACAACATCACAGATGCTCAAACCTGAAAGAATAGGTCATGCTGAAGCATGATGGCTGGAAATTACTCCAGCATCTCTACCTAGAAAGATTTCTGTCTCTACTAGAGATAGCTACTTAAAAGCATAAACCTTACCTGTCACCTTGATTATTTCGATTAGCTAGTTTTCTAGCCTGACGATCCATCAAACTTGTCCTAGAGCGAGTTTTTTTCCAAGAATAGTAATATTTTACAAGGCTTGCAATAGTCTTGTCTGGAAGCTAGAAGAATTCATTAACATGTTAATAAAACATTTTATTCAAATTCTATCCAAGATTATAATTCTGCTCTATTTACAGCCACCCTTACCCAAACACCTGAAGTGTGTGGATAACTCAGAAAGGAGAAAAGCATGCATTTCACATGCATTTAAAAACCAAAAAAAAAGGCGGGGGGGAAGCTTTTTCATCAGAAAGGAAAAACTTTAGCTCCAGGAAACATGAAGAAATGAAGTTAGGTCTTACATTCCAGGTTTTTCCTGAAGCTTTTACACAGAAATCAACATTGAAACTTTAGTCCAACGGGAGCCCTTGGCTCAAGTGTATCTGAACTGCTCAATGCTTCAGACCAAAACATTACTTTACCATTTGCTGGATCCTGTGAAAGCTCTTTCCATGGAAGCTAAATGCTTGCTCAAATAGGACTTTATCTTCAACTGTCCACTCATCAGGGAAAGGAGTGAAGTTAGGGAGATCCGCAAGGGACTTCTCAATATTGTGTTTATGCCAGAACAACATGCCGAGAGCCTTTAAAAAGAAATAATCCCTTTTTGTTTTTAGTCAGCTTTCTAAAATGCTGAGACCAGTTACAATATTCAAAAAAAAAAAAAAACTCAAAATCCCCCCCCTATTTTTTTTTTTCCTTTTTTACGATTATCAGAAGCCCTTCTCAAAAAGTATTTACAATTTTAGACTTCTTCCATTGTCTCTATGCACTATAGGATACAAAATTCCCTTTGGAGACTGTATGAAGAGCGGGCACATTTGTATTCTGTGTTAAAGCTATGATATCCAGACTATTTAAGGTCGGCATGGCAGCATTTCTAAACTAGCATTAACTAGGTTGGTAGGCAGAAATCTGACCTGTTTTCTTCCTTCACAAATATAATCATCTACACAGCTCCTTACAGGCCTTCAGGCCTATGTTATCAGCCCACTCAAAAAAAGAAAAAAAAATACTTTTCAGCAGCCAGGGGGTCATCCAAAATGCAAGTTTGAAAGTTCAAAGTGAGAGTGCTCTTTCTACAACTCTCCAATCCACAAATAACAGCACGGCCACTTCCATGTCATGTGTACCTAATAAGGAATGGAAATTTAAGTATATTTTCTTACATCATTTCATTTCTCAATATTCTTACAGAATTTTAGACTAATTAGACTTACTGCCAGAGAATCAATGACAAGATTTGATGCCAAGTCTGGCATGGGAATTGGGAAAAGTAATCCACTCAGTTTCAACCATGCAGTGCAGACGTGATCATCAGTTGTTCATCAGCTCTCCAGACCCCTGATTACCAATCTTCTAACAACCTGGACACAGCAAACCTATTCTCTTGTTAGAAGGGCAAGAACAAAGCAGCACTTCTTGCAAAGATATTTTCTATTCCACTGTGAACCATCTACAGATATTTTCTATGACAAATTGCTTTGAAAATTAGTCTCTTTTGTAGATTTCTTTTTAGTGGGAGATCTCTCAGTTCCCTCTCCCCTCTACCACAAGCCAAGCCACAAACTAACATTACCAAACTGCAGGTGTTCTAGATGTCATAATGTTGGCAGCCTCTCCCTCTGATAGCACCTGACTAGTAAGTCTTGGCTATTACAAGCTTTCATCCTCCAAAACAAGATCATACAACATGTTTCTATTAGTACACCAAATATTTGTTTGAAATAGCTAACCTTGCTTTTAAATGAATCGGTTAAATTATAAAGAAGACTGCAGCAGAACTAAGTCAGTGTAGGCCAGTAGAGTTTTATCCTTTGCTTTTTATGGGACAGTGACTAAGGTTATAAAACAAATTGTGAATCTCATTTTTCTGTTACTCTCAAATCTAAAATCTTGATAACATTTTCCTACCTTTGGGGAAAAAAAAAGGTCATTTAAAGTTGGTTTGCCTTTTTTTTTTTTTTTTTAAAATATGCAGGAGACCTTTCCAATGCTGTCCCTATTGCACTTAACGGTTCAATATTGTTCCATATTCGCATTCTAGTATTAACTATTAAATTTGTAAGCTTCTGGCCTGAGAAACTGTTTAGCTAAGTATACACACACAATTGCATGACATGCCCAGTGTACCAAGAAACATACCAAACCTTTCAAAAGTGCACATTACAAGCTGAGCATGTCATGAAAACAAAGAGCTCAATCTTTTGCAGAGAATCCAGACCACAACTGTATGCAGATCCATTTAATTGCAGTGTTTGCTGCCGTGCCTGAAGAGAAACAGCGTTAATTAATGGTAACCAAGGGAAAAAAAGAGTTGTGTTATACTTTTACATTTTTAAATCCTTTAAATCAGCTCTCTCATTTCATAGCACTTACCTGTTCCACATTGTATCCATGTTTTTCCTTTGCTATTGCAATATATTCATCCACTGTAACAGAGCAATGTCAGAAATATTGTTTAGTACTGTTAGTTCTGCTATAAGGTCAAGCAGAATTAGCCATCTAACGGGGGAAGACATGGTCTTCCCATGCTCTTAATACACAGCATAGTTTTAGGTCCCTCAAAACTTTAAATACATTCATAGCTGTATTCATAGTAAATAAGAATAAACATTGCATTACAGTCATTGGGCTTACAAACTTTATATACAAGGTAATTCTCAGTGAAAAAGATGTTTTCTTCCACAGTTTTACCGCATCAGAGCCACAGGGGTTTAAAAAAATGGCTAAATCTTCTTGGAACTCATTCTGAGGAGCAAGTAAAACAGAGTAGTTTCAAACTGGGGTACTTCCACTGTTTGTATTCCCAAACAGATTAAAATCAACGTAAAGAGATACCAGATCAATGATTATACATAACCTTGACATTAATACAGTTTTCCCCGACCAACATTAATTTCAACCACAACATGAAGTCAGTTTCCAATAGAGAATATGCACATTTGATAATCTGTTTACCAACTTCACTAATACTACATTTCCTTAAACTGTATCTGTCCATATTAGAAACACCTCTGAGCTGAACACTTTCCCTCATTATACAATTAAGTTCACTGAAAGACCTGCTAGTATTGATCTTTAACATCTATTTTTTTAAGAAAATAAACTCTTCCTTTTCATCCTCTGCAGTTCACAATTAAGCGGCAATTCAATTAAGTTAAAAGGAAGCATAATTGACAAAAGCAAATAATTATACCCTTATTGCTCAAAAGGACCAGAGATGTTCCTGTCACGAACAGTCAGAGCAAAGAGTTAATTGTTGTGTACTTCAAAGGAATGAAGAAAGTGTTTAAATAAACATACTTGGAACTATTTTATTTCTAACTCTTCTACAGTACTAGAAGGTATGCTCCCCTCAAATGCAGATGGGGACATGAACCTCTAACAACTGATAAGAGGCAGAAACTGTTCTAAAGACAAAGTTCTCATGACTACACTCTCAAACTTTCTTCCCGTACAGTAGGTATGGCTGCCTGCCACAGGAAGAAGGTTTAAACTACATGAAACAGACCAGTGATCTCATTTAATCAGATTACTCCTACATTTCAGGTCCCTTTTGAAGGGGAAAAAAGTGCTTATTTTTTCCTGATAAGACAGCAATATCATCTCCCCTTGTACTGGGTCCGAATGCACCTTCCCTGAAAACACCCATTGCAACTTCTTCTCCTGGCAATCTACAGTGATGAGTTCCTCGTGTTTAAATGTTCTGTTCTCCTATTAACATCAAAAGGTTTCATAGATGCCGGTCATCCTACAACATGGCCAGTGCGATTTGAAACAAATACTTCAACTAGGAAGAAAGAGAAGGTAGTCTTTTGCTTTCCCAGTAGTTCTCTAAATGAAACAAGAGAAGCTTTGTTGTTTAATTTACTAATGTGCAACTTCCCTGTGTGTAAAATAAACAGTTAACAGATATCAGAAGCAAATCTTCACAGTTGCGTTTAAGCATTCAAATTCCTAAGCAGACTTACACTTGGCATCTGGAATATTATGATATGGAGACCATACAAGCATCCCTCCATTATCTTTATCAGTGTATTTTGTAGCACCTGTAAGAAAAGTTAAGTCTTAGTATTTATAAATATGACCTAGAGAACAGCTATTCACAGAACAGTAAGTAAAGGTCAACCACATTAAAAAGGTCAGCCCAATGAATAAGGTGAAGGAGGAGAAAATAAATACATAAAGCTGGTGATACAGTAATTCCTCAAGAGCAGTGTTCAGGTTTGACCATTCAATGTTTCACGAGGGACCATCACAACCTGGTATTACATAGGATCCCAGTTACTGTAACTTGAGCGTTACAGTTCATTGCTAAAGTTGGCAAGGATGCCCAGTCTACAGGTATTTGTGTACTTGAGTTGGAACACTTACTGGACAGTTATGAGAGTCTATGACTACTCTATTACGACTACCATAGGAGTATCTGGATCTACTACGCTTAGCTAGGCTTTCTTAGCATAACAAAATTATGAGATAGAGGGTAGAATACAGCTGACTAATCTCCGATTCTTTCAACAAAGAGGAAATTATACTAACAACTACACCAGAAACTATTTTGTTCATTATATAAGTCTCACATATATATCTGTACCCATATTCATAGCAAACCAAACTGTGTAGCTGCAGAAAGCAGTTAGATGTAAAATTTTGTGTTTTCCACCCCCCGCCCCGATGTAGCAAGGGAAACAGTCCAAATTACCTAACCTATCAGGAAGACAGAGCAATTCTTGCAGAACTGATGCGACACTGTACAAAGGACTGTAGATTCCAGAGATTCTGATTTCTAAAAAAAGTATTGCAAAAGAAAAGGAAATTCTCCAATACTCAAAAAGCATCAACTAATAGCTACTTTTCATTAATATTTTACAAATATATGCTAGTACATAAAACCTCTTACGGTGTATTCCTTTACAACAACCAATCTTGCTAAGACATGTGCTCTACTTGTTGAGCAATACACTTGTGTCAGTGTAAATTCCTTGAGGCAGCACCCTCAGAGAAACCTAGCCTTCTGGAGAAGCACAGGTTTTTTTCCCCCTCCCCTTACTATCAGAGCTATTTATTTCACTGAAAGAAATAATTTATCTTCATGCCATTTTAAGTTTCCGCCCTTTATATTTCTACAGTTTGTTGCAGAAAACAAAAATAAAACAAAAAAATCAGGGCTTTGGAGAAAAGAAATATTTATCACTTTCTAATTATGTACTATGTTTTGTTGCTCTTCCCTCTTTAAGTTGGCAGTGTTTTGGATTGGCTATCAGCTTTGCAGTCTGCAGGTGCACTGTGATTGTCAACCTGCAAATCAGTTAATTAGAAAAACTTAAAGATCTTGTGTGTCTTCTGGAGTAAGATGTGCAAGACATAACTGGTATAAATGCATCATAAACTCTATGTTTAAGAAAGTGCATACAGGTCATAAAGCACAGGTTACAAAGCATAAGCAGCACACATACAAAAAAAGAAACAACAACAACAACAAAATCTTTCAGCTTTGAGTGCAAGAGCACATTCCTTAATATAACTTTCTATTTTAAAAAACAAGAAGGAGTGTCATTCTAATTATTAGGAATGCAGTATTTTCTTGAAGAGTGATGCAAACATCTTACAGACTTATCATTTCTCTCTTGCCCAGTTGTTTCTTTATCTATGCGTTCCACTAATTTAGCTAAGAGACAAGGGAAAAACAGGATGATCACTGGAGAATGTATCAGAATTTCAAGCTGTGAGCATGAAATGTCCAAATCTAACATGATTATAGCCTCATTTATTCCTCCAAAAAAATATCAGATACCCTGTAATTTATACGATTTATGTCATGGATAATATCACATATCAAAAGTTCAGGTACTTAAGTTAAGAACTTAGTTTCAGAGTCATATTACTTGCACTTAAAGAGTATTTTACAAAGCTTTGAGATAACTGCAGAAAGGGTACAATGATATAGTTTAGTTGTAAGAACAGCTAGAGATATTTTACAAGTTAAAAGCCAAAGGAAAAAAAAACCAATATTTTTTCCTGAACTGAAAAAACAGAACTTACTTTTAAAAGAAAGTTCAACTCCATATGGATTCTGCTTCATGGGGAAATTGCTTAGCTTAGGCTTGAATCCCATTTAAAGCAAACACAAACAAAAAGCACACCTAAGTCGGAACAGTGGATCATATGGTGAATTTTTTAAACTCATTTAAGAGATTGTTGTAAAATCTTGAAATTAAAAAATGTCAAGCCTAACCTCTAAACCCTCCTCTCCTCCTAAATCTTCAGAATGAAGAATTCTTAAAATTTCGAACTTAAATACTGGTAATTTCAGACTTAAACAGTGGTCCTTTAAGGAGAAGAGATAAAGACTGATGAGTTGTTTCATTACAAACAGAAAACAGTGCAAAGTCTTCCAAATGATCATTTTCTGCACATATAAGAAAGGAGCATTTAAAAAGCTTATTCTGCACAAAGAAAGATCTTTTGCTCAAATTCTGGTCAAGAACTACTGTCTCACGAGATGGCAGTAATTAGATTTTTATAATTCTACATACAGTTTTTTTAATATAAGAATACTAAGCAACTTCTTACTGTAAATTATAGCCAGAATCTTAACCTAGATCTTTCAACCCTAACATTAGGAACGCTTAATTCATTTATTTGCTTAGAGGAGAAGCTATAGGTTGCTGACAGTCGACTTCTGTCAGCTGTCTACATTTGCAAGCTGTGAGTACTGTGTGCGTATACATACATTGCATACTTTTGACACCACACCGCGCACAGTCACAATTCATTCTATCATCGCTGAAGAGGATAAAGACCGAGACATAATTCTGGATAAGAAGCAGCCTGAGTCCACCCAGCTTAGCTTTCAAGTTGCTACCCTCTTCCTTCCAAGAACCTAATTAATGTGATGGGGTGGAGGGGAGGCAATGCAGAACAAGAAAGCTCTGAGAGAGAGTGAAAATAAGACATCCTTCCTCTTGATAGCTTTCCACTTTCTACCCCAAGCCAGTGTCTTCCAGATCCCTGTAGAGGTAACTGACAGCTGCGCAGGTTGAGTGTTGGCCTCAGAAGGGAACTCCGAGTGGTCAGTTAATTCCATTGCGCCCTGTTCACTACACTTCTTCAGCGTGGTCCTCAAAGAAGCAAATAGGAATTGGGGTGATAAGCGGTGCATGGTAACAGATGACGAAACAAACATATAAATCCTCCCCATTCTGTAAATATTACCTGATGGCTAAGGCCACCTATGTGGTGACACCACTCTTCCACAATGTGCCACGCTCACGTTACCAACAAGAGCAACTCCCACCAGAACAGCCCTTTACAAAGCAGTACTATTTTCCCAGCAGGAACCACTTTTCAGAAGAAGTCTCCATATGGCTAAAAGGAAAGCAAGGGTGATGAAGGAAGGATGGGATGCATACAGGTAAGCCTGTGCTGGTAAGAACACATCCTATCCTCAACACAGAGCATCCATAGCTACAGGGATCCCTCCATCTCCATATGTAGGATCATGAAATATCTTTATGAGAACTGTTTCTTGTCCTCCCTGCCCTAAGCATTTAAGGGGGCAGCACCCCCCCCCCAAAACAAATAAACAAACATGTACCAAAGTTAACATGATCTTTGTCCACAAGATCCATTCTCATTACGGACAGCAGATAGAAGCCAGTAGTTGGAAATATTAGGCAATGTATCAACTAAAGTATGTGAAAAGAGCAGAGCTGTAAGCCATGAAGGAAGAGAAAGACCATTAACCAGATCTCAACTATAACAAAACTCCCCCCACCGCCACGCCATACACCTTCAAACCACTTAGGAAAGTGTTTTGGTACTTCAGCTGCAGCACTCACTCCTCTGCCAATACCACTTAGAAAAGGGGGCTAGCTGAAGATGACCCATAATCTACAAGTATTCTCAACTGCTTCCATAACGGAACAACTGCAGTGACAACCTGACTTTTTAAATTTTGGCTCCATATTAGAAGAAGTTAGGTAGGCTGGGAAGACGCTGTTCAATACTCAAATACAAGAAGCGCTGAGAATAAAGTGAAAACCTGGAAGCATGCAAAACTTAAAAGGGGGAATAACAACTTAAAAATACATTGGTTATCTACATACAAAGTACTGTTCTCTGCTTAACCAGAATCTTTCGGAGTAGGAGCAGAATGAGAGAAACCAACAGTAAAAAGAACTAAATTTTGAAAACAAAGGACTGGAAATCCTGGGGGTGGAGAAAAAGGGGAGGAGAAAAAAACAAATCAGGAAATATGAGGACCGATGGCACAGGAAAAAAGGAAAAAAAAAAAAGGAGAAAACGTCACATTCTTTACCACACCATTTAATAACTTCAGTATAGGAAAGTCTGTTTTAAGGTAGAAAGGTTAGTGGGAGAAAAAAAAATTTTAAGGACACAAAATGAAATGGAACCCATAAGTGACCTTAAATAGTGTAACACATTCTTCTTGACCACCCCTTCTAAAAAGTGGGTGAAAGGAAAATAAGCATTTCAGCATTAAATAAGCAAAATTCACAATAAAGCCTTTGGAAACTCCAAATATACTATGATCTGCCAGAGTTAGGACTGTATTCTTCCTTTATTCTGAGTACAGAAAAACTTCTCTAGCAGTCCTTTGGCACGCATCATACAAGTATGGTGCAGATACTGTAACATACAACCCATAAAGTGGCTCAAAAAGCCAGGGAAAAACTCTTTCACCTCAAGAATGTAAGGTACCACTGAAAAAACAGCAAGAAGAGACAAAAAAATCTGGAAAGCAGGAGATGGTCTCTTAACTTGGTAAATTACTCAAGATTTAGGACTTTTATTTTATGAAAACCATTTTCACTGCAAAGAAGTTTACCTTATTGCTACAAGATAAAGTGACAATTAAAAATTCTGTCTCCACTAAGCTCTACCTGAAGAGCCTGTAAAATGAGGTTGAAGGTGGAAGTGACGGTGAGCAGAAGAATGTTTTAACTAAATTCCCCTGGTCTTGCTTTGACCCCAAATCCATTTTTCC